ATATATGATCATTTAAGATGCTAGAATTCTCAGATCTCTAGGGGCTTTCAGCCCTTGGACTGAAGATATATGGCCTCTAGTCCACAGCTAAACTTGCATTTTACTTGGCTCGCAGACTTATCAATCACACCATGCAAGCATCACCATTCTTTGATCATGCCAGAGGCCTAACTACTGCGTGAATTACGCACTGTCCAATAATTCATGGTAGATACACATTAACAGCGTTCCATAAACTCTTATAGATTAGAAAATAGCAATAAACAGGACTTACCTCCAGTAAGATTAAAGAAACCTGTGAAATAAACAGGGTTCCAAGCTAAAACATAACATTTTATAGAGACTAAAAAAGTATAAAGAGGACTTAGAAATACCTTTGATAAGATAAGAGAACTGAGTAATAAACATGGTTTTATACTAAAACATTAACTCTTATAGATTAGAAAATAGAGTAATAAACACACCACTAAAGACATACCTCTGGTTAGATATACTGTAGAACTGAGCAATAAATAGGAATCCAAACTACAGCATAAACACTGATAATAGATTAGAGAACAAGAGTAATAAACAGGATTCCACACTAAGATATCATCCATGAGAACAGAGCAATAAACAAGGATTTAATAACCTTTTAATATGTATACTAACTTTGATTCCATAAAATAGGACTTTCTATATCTATTAACAAATCAAATCACAGCAGGCATTAAAATAGGCTCCCAGCGTGAGCGTGTCTAGTTCTAGTTTTTTTGTTTTTTTTTGGCTACTTTTAATAATATCACATCCACGCTTTCTGAGTTGACAAGTCACATGAATAATATTGTACCAGTATCACAGAATTTTGTGTCTATGCTCCATTGGGGAGACACTATGTTAATTTTTGGCAGTTAAAGATGGCTGAAAGGTAAATCCGGTGGCGGTGCATGATGGGTCATGTGTGTCAATTTAAGTACCTAATTTCTGTACAAAAGTCATAAAAAAAATACACCACCACACATTTCCTGATAACCAAATCCCATGTGGATACTTAGTAAACAATAATAGTGTAAGGCAGTATAGGGCATAGGCACACGCTCCCGCTGGGAGCCTATTCTAGGCGTGGCATCAAATTTCGTAGACTTATATTTGGAAGACTGTTCATTTCTTCCTTTAGCTTATGACGCATCCCATCATTCTTTTAACCGGATTTACTATTACAACTTTCTGTAGAGATGATAGCAAAGTGACACAAAAAACCTGTTAGCTCTCTGTGACCTAAAAATCCGAAAAAGTTTGTTTCATTTTGACTAATTCAGTATGTGGGTGAGCAGAAATATTTTTAAAATACTTATAAAAAATCATACATGCATGTTTAGTTTTAATAATAACCAGGACCGTAACAGGGGGGGGGGAGAGGGGTTGTTTATTAAAGAAACATTTCTGAGTTACACACCCAACATTGCCCACCCCACTTTAGACAGTGGTATATTCCATGGGTGGTTTTTGTCAGGGTGGTTATTGTCCTGGGTGGTTTATGTCCTACATTCTATAGAAAACCTCCCTTCCCATGAACCTGGTTACATGCCTGATACCTTTTACAGATAACAGCATTGGACCATATTTAACAAGGGGTTTACAAGCCAAAGGTGGTAGGTGGGCCACACATAGAGTTTTTTAATATGTTTTCGTAGGTCACAACAAACAACAAAACACTTCCCATTAGTCCATATGAAGCCTGTGGGCAGAACTTTGCCAACCTGTGCTTTAGGATGTACTGCCCCTAACGGGGGGCGTAAACACTAAGTCATTATGTAGCAATTAAAGATAGTGGAAAAGGGTAAATCCTGTTTAGGCATGATGAGGTAGGGAGCGCTCTTGACAATCGAATAGCGTACGGAACTCGAACAAAATTGCGTTGGAAACTTGAACATGTGTTATAGAGACGCAGCACGCATTCACCATGAACGCCTTTTACCGTCATTTGAAGGACGCCTCTAGAACATGGTAGTACTCTTCGTGATCAACGACATAACGTGGTAACTCCAAGAGTTACTCATTTTAAAAGTGTTTTTAGTGTAATATAGTAGTAGGCCTATAGAGAATATGTGAGGTCTCACCACGAAATGAGATGCATCGTTGGTGAAATCATATTGAGATATTCACCAAAATAGGTCAAAGGCAACATTTTTACAAAATTTTGATTTTAATGTTTTTGAATAACATACTTATATTTTATGATTGTGTACATTTCAAGTGAATTTTCGTACTAAAACAGTGTTCTCTGTGCATATTCTGTAATTCTAGTACTATTATTTGTACAGATTAGTTTATCTTTGAGGCCGTTTTTCTCAAAACCTGATTCTCATACATCTAAACTTTAAATGCTAACATCTCTGGATCTATTTATCCTAGGGAAGCCATTCAAAGATCAAATTAAAGCTTATATGTGATCAACTAAAATATAATATAAACTCATTTTTTGATTTTCTAACGATAAGACTCATTTTGTAGTGAGACCTCACATATTGTTATGAAAGAAAATTTTCATGTAAAATCCAGATATACTACAATAATACACACATCTGCATATTGAAGAACATAAGAAAAAATTTTAAAAAAACAAAAACTCCTGTATAAAGGCAGTAGACACACGCTCCCGCTGGGAGCCTATTTTTATGAGATAAGTCACACTCAATTTTTTTTCCCTATCCAACAACCACCAACTCAGTTTGTCTACTTAACATTCTTACTGTATCGCTAGAAATGGTGAAAAGTGATCCAAAAAAAATGTTAGTAAAGTATAAATAAAGGTGTAGATGAACTGGACGAGGAGCAATATCAGTTTGTCTGCTATAGAAACAACTTACTTTTTGCCAGCAAACTTTTTATTATCAAGTTTAGAAATCATTTATCAATTCATAATTTGATATTTAATTAACATTTCATCTTGATAGCTTTAACATCATCCTCTAAATGTAGTAAAAGCCTGCAGTACTTATACATGTATTTACATATGTGACTCGAACAAGAGGCTGAGTATGACATTTAACTGAGTGACGTATAGATATTCTACGTTGTTTTCCTGTCTATGATATGTTTGATTAACCTTTGCATTTATTTTGAATACTGGTGCTAAACTATTGTCCAAAATCAATGATAAAATCTTTAAAAATGCTTGCAGACTGACAGTCAAGTCAAGTTACAGTGTTGACTTGAATGGCCTACAAGACAAATATACTTGTAGATAATATGTAGTACAATACAATATATATACTTTATAACACAAAAGAGCATTCAGCTGTACAAGGAACATGAATACATATGATAATATTTAGCAAATAAAAATAAATAATAAATAGAATGAATAGTGAGACACCAATTAAAAAAAAGGTAAATAACATTGAATCAATATTGAGTATAGGAAATAATAAAAATTGAAATAATAAACTAAAGTACATACTGTAGAAACTAATAAATACAATTTTAAAAATTTGCTTTATATCTCCAACAAGTACAAACACACATACAAAAATAACACGCAAAACTAATTAAAACAAAAAAAACAAAAAACATTTAGAAGATATCGGTGATAACTTTCTAAATCCCTGCAAAGGGATTTACTTCAGGGGGTCTAACTACAAAACTGTATACCATCTGGAGATGATTCAAATTTTTATATTCGACTTTAAAGTTAAATTTGGTACTGTACGGTAGGTTTCAATTAAACACTAGAATGAGGAAAAATTCTCACTGTATTTATCTTTATCATATTGTATATTTTATGAGGGAGGGGGCAGCTGGCTTGAAAAAGTTATATAGTGATTTGTTTGCTTAAGCAGTGCCCCGACCATCTTTTGGTCAAATAAATAAACTGAAACTGAAACTGTCAAAAAATGTATGTATAAATAAATACCATTCCTATGTTTGTTTGCATATAATTGCTTTAAATTTGGCTGAAAATCATCAAAGATTTTTTGTAAATCAGTGAAAAATAAATTATGACCTGTTGATTTCTTTTTTCCATTAAATATATACGGGATTTTTTTTTTTTTTAGATATTATCACGAGACTATATCTTAAAATAATATTAGGGGGCTTTCAAATGAGAACAAGAACGTAGAACAAATTCACTCATCCGTGACAGTCATCGCATGCATTCTACATTCTACTGTAAATTGATTTCAATGATTTATGACGTGTATGTGGTGATATCATGAACGTAAAACGGACACGTCAATGTGTAATACAGTACAGTGCTCATTCTGACTTGAGTGTCGATTCGGCCGACAAATGTTTCAGAGAGGACGTAATGCACAACTTTGAGACATGCACAGTTAAATTAACATGACATTACATCATTATATACTATGTAAACTATACCACAAACATGGAAATGAAATGGTGTATCCATTAATACATAACTGTAAAAATCAAATATAAGCAATCAATCCTTCAAAAACTCTAAATGTCTGTGTTAGCAATTCTCAAACATTTTGGCCGATGATCTAAATGAACGTCCAGACAATTTGCCATTACCCACTACATAGGAAGTTAAAAACAAATACTCAAAATCAGGGGTGGGCATTAAAATGGGTCGGAGGGCCAAAGTAAATTTTTGATTTAACAAAGAGGGCTGCACTCAAACTTCAATGTTTCGAGTGCGCTTCCAAAAACCTTCATACACTTACTTTTCGAAGGGTTTTTGCTCAGTTTTAATATTATATTTTACAGATAATAGGTGTCTTGCCGAAAAAAACAAGGTTTTTCTAGCCAAAGATGGTTGGCGGGCCACACATATAGGGTTTTCAATTCATTTTCGCGGGCCGCAAAAAAAATCACTGTTTGGGCCTTGAAATTCATACATAATACCATTTCTAAATTCTTTGCATGGAGATTCCTAGATTGGTAGGAAATTAATTTAAGAATTGGTATAAAAAGTTGGAAAATCATCAGAATATAAATTGTTTTAATCTCTAATTGCGACTTGCCTGAACTTCTGAATGAGCAATTTAATAGTTTAACTAAATTTATTTAAACAGATCTTCAATTTCATCCCAACATCTTGTGTTTTTTGTTTTTATTCTTCCCTACACATTGCTTGGATGCATGCTTGTCTTCCTTTTGGTAGATAATGTACACCAAACAAAAGTGCTGAATGAAATAAATAAAAAGGAAAGGTAAGGAAATTATATGAATATCACCAGGTCACAAAAAAAAAATGATTAAAAACCAAAACATGTCAGCTTGCCTTTACATATGAGTTCTTTATATGAAGAAATGATACGGCCATCCAGTAGTCCTCAAATATTTGCTGCCCTCTTCAGAAAAAGAATAAAAATGAAGCGATATTGATTATGTAAATTAATGCACGTTAGCAGATTTGAATATAATAGAGCACCTTTACTACTGCAATGGAGGCCAACATTAATAATACCAAAGTTAATCTAGTTCTGCTTTCATACAAAGGATTTTAAAATAATACAAGTATGTTATTTATTAGAATGATATATGAAAAAAGTACAGGATACAATGGTCAATCAGTGGCACATCTAAAAAGCAGAATTAAAACATATTAATGTAATGGAATTAGGCCACCATTAATCAATCAATCAATCATCAATCAATCAATCATCAATAAATCAATCAATCAATCAATTATTGATTGATTGGTCTCTTCCGAAAGACGGTGTGCTTTTTTTATACTTGCATTTTAGCACCCTTCAGCTGAAAAAAGAAAAAAGAAACTAGTGGATGAAAGTTAACCAGATGATCTTCACGGTTCAGCGCACACACAGTGACTTTCACCAGTTTAGCCAACTGCGCTATGCTATCTTGAAAATTTGTTCATGCCCTTGAATATCCTTATACATTATTGATAGACTACTGTACTTGACTTGTTGAGAAATATCTTAAGATTATTTAAAAATATATTATGTTTTCTGGCACCTTGTCTGAGAAATGGATGAGTATTTAGAACTGAATTATAAGGAACGTGATGAATGAAAAATGCATGCAAGTTGTCACAGTAATTATGAGTAAAGTTGGATAGGAAAGTATACAGTAATCAAGTATAAAGAGTATCTCGACTTTGTGTCTCTGATGACATGCCAATGAATAGATTTTCAGAACCCATAAATTGAAGACCTATGGCATCAAGGAATTGCATTTTTTCTCAGTAGAGGCCTACTCATCTTTTGAACAATATTTTTTACAATAGTTATTGGGTGTTTTGAACACGCAAATAACATGTCAATTTGTCTTTTACTGCTACTCAAGAAATACATTTTCTATATACAAAAAAATAAAATAATTAAATGAGAATTGCAGAATATAAAATAATTAGTATTATAAGTCAATCGTGATGTAATCACTGTAACTCGCAATGTTATTTGCCTATTCCCCAGTGTCCAATAATTTTTTTTAAATCCTCATTTTTTTGTCACCACCGCGAATACATCGCGCACCGTGATAAAAATTGAATTATAATTGAAAATTGCTTTCGTAAAACAAGCTTAATTAGAACGCGAAGAAAAGTTACTTCAAATTCAATATTAAGTATGAACAATTAAGGAATTCATTGAATCAATGGACCCTCATAAACACAACAAAGTGAATGTTTAATAGAAATATTCTAGACTTATTTTAAAGACTCAAGGAACACATTTAGATGTAGGCCTACAGCCAGGCAGGCCGCCCGGGCCTCCCCCTACTATTACTAGGCATAGGCTGTGCCTGACCTAGTTATGAAATCATTGCACGATTTTACCTGTCTCCATGCACCGACCATAAAGGACGTCAGTCACTGTATTCCCTCTTGAATGCTGAAATGTTTATTTCTTTGACGAAAGTCTATCAATATAGCATTACAAACAAGTTCTTTACACAGGCCTAACACAATAGTTAGGCTTTTTATCGTATCTGTACTGTACTGCTGATGTTATATGAGTTATCAGCATGTCAGCATACGCACAGCTAAATGTAAATACGCACACGTATACTGATCATATCAATATAGCAACCGATAGCTGCTACAACAGTTCGTTATAAAAAACTAAAATTAAAAGACGGCGATTGACTAGCAATTAGTAAAGCATGCATCATACACTAAATGGAAAATTATTATACTTAGGTTAGATTTAATGCATTAAAAAATTTCCTTCGGGCCTTTTTTTTAAGCATTAAATCTTTTCCTATAGTGTACTATGCGGAGCTCTACTAATTGCTTATTATTGTATAAATGGATCAATATACTGTACAAAGTTATAATTAAACATTTAGTTTTTCTTTGAGAAAATGTCAAGAAAGAATCAAAATTAAAAAAGGAATCAATGTCAAAACACACTTAAGTATCAATATTGAAAGGAACAATAACAAATAATCAAGATGGGACCAAGTGCAAAATTAATTGCTGGGCCCTTTGATATTAGGGCTGTATGCCCCATTAAGTATCAGATCATTGATCACAAATAAAAAAAGCAGCACAGAGGAAATAATAAGGAGATTGACGATGGCAAGAGCAACAACGCAACAATGTTTACCATCTGGAAGAGCAGAGGGCTGAGCACCAACCTCAAACTTTGTCTGCTCCATGCAACATCATCTGCCATTGTCTCTTATAGTGTGTCATTGGCTTAGCCTATGACCAAATCTGATCAGCGCAAGCTTGATACAGTACTTTTGAGATGTGGCCATAATTATAGAAGAGGGCTAAGATTCCCCTGGACTGCAAGAAAAACTAACTGTTGGATGCCAGAAAAAATAAAATCTTCAATGATACTGAGGCAACAGATGGCAGTAAGAAAAGTGCGGTTCTTTGGTCATGCCATCTGCCAGGGAGGCTTTGACAAAGAATACAGTAATACAGGAGTCTGTCGAAGGAAGACAAAGAAGCGGACAACCAACAGAATCATGGACAAAGGACATAAAGGAATGGACTGGACAAGGACTGGCTGCAGCATCATCATCTGCTGGTGATCGAGAGTTTTGGCGCACAATGGGACTATAAAAGAGACTTCCGGGTTCTTCCATGAACCTCCAAGGAGAGAGTTTGTGTTCTGGTGGCCACTGCCAGCGAGTTTACGTGCAAAACAATAGTGACATATTGGACCAGTGTGGACGTGACCTCACTTCCTGAGCGCCCCGAGTGAATCCTGTTGGACATGAACTCATGTCCCTGGCAGTGAACATGTTTAAAATGTCCAAAAGGAATACTGTAGCTTAAAATAATATAATAAATGACGTTTCCAAAAACATCTTGAGACCTCATCCAGGGGCAAATCTTGACATAAAATCACATGTTAGTATAAATTGCAATTTTAATACTTCATTATATTTCATCATTCTAACTCATCACAAATTCATAAAACATTTATAACATTTTATTTATGATCATTATGACAATACTGTCAATATCATCATAAACAAATGTGTTGGTTACCTTGTTATATTTTGCAATTTTTTCTCCTTGATATTACAAAGCAATCTTGTCAAATATGTTCACAATCTACAGAAAAATAATATACACAATTACTCATGGATTTATAATTAATATTTAAAAACATAAAATACAAAAGGTGACAACCCATAAAACAAAACAAAACTTTAAGGCAAGACATTTTTAAATACCGTATTACCCCCATTATCTGCCACTAGATGATAAGGAATAAAAGTGGTTTTTCTTTTTTAATATCATGCTCTGATGCAAACATACCATCTTAAAAATTGTAATTTCTGGGGGAAAAAAAACTTAATTTTTATCGTGCCTTCCACCAACAAAATATCTCCAATAAAAACATATTTTTCTTTCTCGAAATAAATATAAAAAAATCTCAATAATCACAAAATTTTCAAGGAAGTCTTGAAAGTCTTAAAAATCTTCAATCAGTATAAAACATCATCTTTATTTCACATATTTATGTATATCTTGCTACTTCACCATGGCTGGCAAGCATTTTCTCCCTTTCATAGGCTCCAGATCAAAAAAAAATTTAAATACTTCACTGATGCCAATTGAGGTTCATACACAGATTCACAGTTGGCAGAGATCGTTCAACCTGCTAGGTTGGAGTTATATATTTTATTTATTCTAACAACACGAATCCTACCGAACATCGCAACAGTTTGGAAGATTGACAAGGCATTTCATTTTTGACTAATTTAAATACTTATTGTATGTTTTGAACATTCAGGCCATGCCATTAAAAACTATATGTCAGACTCTAGAGAGGTGTGATAGGTATTGTAGTATTTCAATGATGGTTCACAAATTTATACAGTAACGGCATGGCATGGAAAACTGTATGATGATTATGAATGTAAATTATTTGTATATGCTAATGATATCAATATTCATACTTAAAGGCTTTACAATTGCTGCACACTACAACACAGACTTAATTTAAAATATGTACATTAGTAGTATGATATTTTATAGTTTTAGGTTTTTCATTTGTCAGAGTTTGATTTATTAGTTTGAAAAACTTAGGTCCAGTGAGGATCCTTCTGGTGGTGATTTGGCAGTAAACACAGAGACACATTGCATGGCATTGAACAATAATAACAGTATAATAATAATAGTAGTAATAAGTCCCACTTATATAGCACAAAATACTATGCACTTCACAAAAAGATGCTAAAATTTGTGTTTAAATGAACATGTTTGCTTTGTTTTATACTATCTTGTTCAATACTTCATGGATATTTTTTTATAAATCTGTATCATTTTATCTAATGTTTTATAGTAGTTCAAACGCCAAGGAAAGAGAGACGGTCACTCAGGCCTGTGGGTCCAGAGCTTCAGGTTTCGACTTTTACCTCAGTGCAGATGAGGGAAGATTAAGATTGTTCACGCCATGCCTTTATAGGCTGCAACAACAAGAAAAAACAGCCATTAAGAAACTACAGGTAGCAGTAGCATTTACTACGAAGAAATGAGAATTCCAAGCTAAGCGTGAGCAGTTACAATGATAGTCTCCAAAGAGTCCATGTAAAACAGTGATCATGCGCTAGGGAATGCTGACAAACAGTGAGCACACGCACTTACTAAATGACATTGTCGAGCATTTGAAACTGACAGTAGGGCCTAGCCAGACTATAGCTGAAGCATAAAATCGGCCATGATGAAGTTATTTATCTATAGCTAGGATTCATACAACCCTAGCTGGCAGAATAATAAAAATAATAAAACATATTTTTTTAAAATGAATACAAATAAAATAATAATTAATAACAACAATATTGATAGTATAAACACAACCTAAAAGAAATGCTAGGCCTACACAAGTTATATTACACTGGTTTATGTATCTTATACTTTCCACATTTCTAATGTATAGTGCTGTATAATGCCTTTTTATTATTTTACTTTTATGATCGCAATATAAATAATGCTGCGGCTAGTGTTTAAGACCAGTTGTAAACCAATTCCTGTACAGTAGGTCATTTTTACACCATACAGACTTTCATGCGCCGTAAACAGTTGAATTTTCACTTTGACAATTGTCATCGCGATAGCCGATATCACAAAAGTTTTCGTACTCTAAGTCTGAGATTCAGTAGATTGTGGAAATAATAATATTCTTTATCTAATAAAATTAATGCAAAGGATCCATATGGGTCTCTATTGATAATCATCAGTAATACATATACTTTATCATTTATTATATCTCCTATTTATATATAATATATATATACATATATATATATATTATATTTATATTTTTGTTAATTTAACTTTTAGATATTTTATACATTTTAATTTTATCTAAGCTTATTCATGTATAGCCTAATCTGCAACCAACACTTCCTAGTATAGCCATCAGTACTTATAGGCCTACTGTTTCGTTTATAAAACCCTGATCAAAATTCACCGCTTGATCTCGGCTTAGAGTAATTAAAGTGGATGTAACATAAACTATGTGATAATTGGCCGTTAATTCTAGCCCTATCATCACAACAATATTGATGTACAGTAAATATCTCTTGTGTCACTTACATTTTATCATTTAGTTTTATAAACTGAAGAAGACCAGAGGACTGGTTGAAAATTTCGTTGAAAATAAATAAGTATAAATAAGTGTTAATAGTCCAAATGACTCGTTATAATTTCTGGTTTCAACGCCTATTATATAATTTTAAAAAGACACATGGATTTACGATGATATATATAGTTATATTTTTACACCAGAATATTATTTTTTTTTTTATGTATTCATCATCTAAAATTACGTATATGTGTCATACCACAACAGAAATGCATTGAAGATAGTAGGTCATCCTCAAGAATATGTTATTTTATTAAGTTTGAAAACAAAAACCATTTTTTTTAATAGGAAATATTTCTTGTTCCATAAATGTTTATCTTGGAGAAAGAAATTTGCTAGGATAAGAAGTTTGCAAGGAGAATGAGGTTCTCTGGGTGAAAGGGGGACTTCGGCCAGTAATTCACTATCTTAAAAATAATCGACAAACAGTACACAAAGCAATAAATTGTCAGATATTTTTGTATCAAATGATGAAAAAACATGTTTTATATAATATTTAGAAGTGATCCCAAAGTAATACCTTAAATATCCTAACAAAGCAAAAACTCTAGGTGATCCCTCCACCTAAATATTTAATACATTAATATTCAGGAGTTTAAATTAATTAAAGACAAATTAATACAAGAAAATAAAACATTGCTCTACACAATTCTGATATGGGAAAATTTTCCAAATTTGCTAATAATTGATCAGCCATCACAATATGCAGAGAAATGTATTAAATTAAAATAATCTCATCTGCGCTCAAGCAAAATGAAATTCAGTCAATTACGACAGCCAATCAGATGATTTGGATGGAGGCATTCAATAAATGAGCTACATGGAACATGTGAAAATGTACATTAGCATTATATTCCAACAACAATTTTAAAAAACATTAATTCTTTATAACAACCATTGTTTTTGTTCTGATCTCTTTTTTGCACACAAATTTTTTGTCCGGCATTTTGGTCACTTTCCGTGTTTGGATCTTTTTTAAACTTCGTCAAAGCAAAGACCATATCTCAAAGATGTGCATAAAAGTATGAAGTCATTCTACATATTTTGAATAAAAACAAGTAATAAAAGTTTTACGTTTATGTAACCTGTTATCTCAAAATCTGAATTTCAGACGAGGGGCTGGTTTTGATTGACTGTGCCATAAAATGACGAACGTAAAACTATATGAAGTACAAATAAAACATAAGCATTTCTAATATCTTCCATACAGTCATGTGCAGATTGACACACTACAGCTAGTCATACTGACAATACTGTGTCAGTATTTGTCTCTGTTCACTTTACTTTTTTCAAAATATTCAGGTATTACATTTGAACTGATTACCCAAATAGTCAAGACAATATCAATATAAAATGTGAAGGAAAATATGACATATAGTGGTAAAAAAGATTTTTTAAATTAAATTCATGAATTTAAAATGTGGTGCTACATGCTCTCATTATTAACGCATTAGGAATAGCTGTACATCCCCAGGTAAAAGCAAATTAACTTGCAAAGTTGTCCGACTGAAAAATAGAGTTAATTATTTGCAAAAATAACATGGCAACAAATTTTTGTACCCTTGTGAAATTTGGCAGAATCAGAAAATTAATAGAAGTTATATTAGTACAATTTTAAATACCACAGTTAGAATATTGCAAAGATATATATTTCCACAAATACATTGTTTACCTCAGAATAATTGAGAATTTTCAGGCGCTGTGTAAAACATCATCAGCCAATTTTTGAAATTACCCTGAGAAAAAAACAACATATTTTCATCGGAGATACATAGTTTTGCTATGTAGTCTTTCAGTTACATTCAGCTAGCCGGGGATCCAGGGGGCAAAGGACCCTCGCGAAGGACCTCTGGACCCCCTGTCAGGGAATTTTTAGCGAGTTCGTCAGGGAAAAATCAAATCTCAAGTACCATTCAAGCATGTCTTACTATTAACTGTCAAATTTCATTTCTATCCAAAATAAATTTTTCATTTCATTTCATTCATTTCGTCACTTGACAAAAAATATACAATATTAAAAAACGAAACACAAATCAAGACAATTAAAATTGTTTTTAGGAGGTAGACCAATAGCAAAATAAATCACTTTCAACACGGCTCTCCAATCCCCATTCAACAAAATAAATTACAAATAATAAGGTGTAAATAAAATTTATATAAAATATTACCATAAATTTTTTATATAATTAAAATTAAGAGATTCAGTTATAAAATGCATTAAAATTTAAAATTCATAAAAAATGTACTCATGGTTAAAAGTTTAAAAACTTTTTGGGTAAAAGTTTGTCCAGATGGTAACATCATACAGAAATATGTATCATGTTTATACTCAATCAGTTGGAGGCAACTAGAGTCCCGAGGGTGACTGTAACTAGGTTAAACTGCTTTGAAATCCCTTGCACATCAACTTTACATTTTCAGAGCTCAATCTTTGGGCAATGAGACATTCCTCTGAACATTTCTCTTACCATTGCATTCTTATTTCCAGTTAATACTTTTATGCATTTTGCTTTGCTATCGAAAGATATAGACATAAGATATGAAAAATTATGTATGACATTACTAGTGTTGATGCTTAGTTTTTTGTACTATCACGTTACCATAGTGCAAATAATTAAGAGCAAATTAAGAGCCTTTTATGAGCGAGTTTGAAACATGTTGTAGTTCGTCATGACACTTGACCTCTGCTTTGGTTAGAATACATGTTTCAGGTAATTCAGAAGTGTTTAATATACTCCCAAATGATGAATACTGAATTAATTGACAATAAATGTAAGTTAAAATATGTTGTTTTGCCCCAAGACAACTGCAGGTTTTAAAAATAGGTATCATGCAGTAAACTAATAATAAATCATCTTAACATAGTTACCAACCTGAGAAATTTTAAATGCATGACTACACCAGTTGAGTGGGAGTTGAGGGGGAGGGGGGTGCCAGGGCCCCTGGGGTCAATGGCCGAACCCGGGTTCACAGTCACATAATCAATAGTTGGTTGTGATAATGGAATGCACAAGACCGCACTCAACTACTCTAGATTCTATTAATTGAATGTTTGGCTGGGTTGTTTTGGTGGGGAAAGAGAAATTTTTTCAGTAAATTGATTCTCGAACGAAATAACGAAAGCTCTAATGACTCAAGCTAATGCATGACCGTTTTTATATTTTAATAACACCAATTTCTTCTAATTTTAAATACATTTTCCAATGAATTCGTAATAATTCGTTATCACACATAGACTTGTGCTAAATGCGTGACAAATTTCTGAACACGCATGTGTTTCTACAAAATGCATGTTTCATCCAAAATCACTTTGAAATGCAAGACCGTCCCGTACGATGTGAGGCAGTTGGTAACTGTTGGTTGGTAAAAGTTGGCTTTTAGTATTACAGATTACAGATTAAATAATTGATATAATTTTCTAAATGTCTATTTAAATTCACAAAATAAAATTTGGATACTGCAGCTCTTTAAGGTTTATTATTAGTTTAAAGTTCAATTCAAGGTATTTATTGCACATTCACAACGTCCAAAAGCGGGACACATTAATCCTGAAAGCGGGACACAACGTGATTAACATTACAGATAAATTGTATACATAAAAGATACTCAGTACATAATAAAAAAAGAAATATATATACTTGGTTTTAAATGGGATAAGGGAACTCAAAATGCAATTTTTGCCTTGAGAATGATATTAGAAAGATCTATAGAAATGCAAAAAGATATTTATTTGGCTTTTTTTGATTATGAAAAGGCATATTATGATTTTCTATAGAAATGCAAAAGATATCTATTTGGCTTTTATTGATTATGAAAAGGCACCTTATGATTAGGTGAAACACAAGGAGATAATTAAAGATCTAGAAGCTCTGAATGTTGACAATATATATATATATATATGCATTATTCAAATGCAACATACAGAACATACAGAATTGAAAAATAAAGAAAAGCATCGCATCAAGAAAAAATTGAATCGATAAAGGAACGGAGGGAAGCCCTAAACTCGCCCATATTACAAAATATGCAAAGGAGACAAAGAGGGACATTCGCAAAGAACAGAACCAAGTATAACAATAATAAGAAAAAAAAACATAAAATAAACAAAAACATATTATTTAAACTGATGATAAACATCTTTTTTGTATCGCTATTAATCACTATAGTAACACGGCTCATCGTCTTTGAGTGCCATGGATTTCAGAGTATCCTCCAGGATTTTAGTCTTGGTATTATCGTGATTATTTTTTATTTATAAATGTTGAAAAGCGGTCAATTCAGGGTTTGCGCGGGGCAGCGGGACACGACTCCGAAAGATGGGACAATTCCGCCGAACCATGTAGGACATTGTTTTTAAAATAGAAGAAGTGCTTGACAGATGAGTTGAATTTACAGGGGAATTATTTGATGATATAAGGTCTGAAATTACTGAAAGTGAAAATGTTCAATTAACAGGGAAAGATATCTTAAAACATGGAATTTAATGGGCATTAAAAAGAATGAAAAACGGTAAAGCAACAGGTAACAACAGGATTTTTAAAGAGATGATTAAGGCATGTCAAGATGTAGGAGTAGAAAAATTCAGGCTATTGCGAATAAGATATATCATAGTGGTATAATACCAAGACAGAATTAATCTTTATACTAATACCCCAAAAAAGGGATTTACTACTGCAATAACTATAGATTGATAAACCTCATGAGTCGTGTGTCATGAAAAGAATTAAGAGTAAAATTCAGATAGAAGTTGGATGGGAACAATTTGGTTTTAAATGGGATAAGGGAACTCAAAATGCAATTTTTGCCTTGAGAATGATATTAGAAAGATCTATAGAAATGCAAAAAGATATTTATTTGGCTTTTTTTGATTATGAAAAGGCATATTATGATTTTCTATAGAAATGCAAAAGATATCTATTTGGCTTTTATTGATTATGAAAAGGCATATTATGATTTTCTATAGAAATGCAAAAGATATCTATTTGGCTTTTATTGATTATGAAAAGGCACCTTATGATTAGGTGAAACACAAGGAGATAATTAAAGATCTAGAAGCTCTGAATGTTGACAATAAAGATATAAGATTAATACAGAAGTTGTATTGGGAACAGGTGGCTGCTATATCTATAGATGGCAAACTTAGTACTGGACATATAGAAAGAGGTGTACAACAGGGATGTGTCCTGTCTCCTGACTTTATTTTCTCTCTATGTAGAGATGATAATTAGAAGAATGTCAATAAGTGCCAATATGATAAAGAAGCTAGAAGCCATGGAAATGTGGTGTTATAGGAAAATGATTAGAATTTCTTGGACTAAATTTATGAGGAATGAAGAAAGAAGAAGAATGAAGAAAGACAATTATTTAGAGTGATTATACAAGGGCAGTAAAGATTCTAAGGGCATGTACTCTGTGAGAATGGTCTATAAACACTGACAATAGAAGGTAAAATAGAAAGAACCAGAGCTGGAGGAAGGCAAAGGAAAAAGTATAGATGACTTACTATCAACTGGGCAGGGGAAAATGGATCATACATGCAGTCAATAATAGAGACAGGTTCAAACACATGATTGCCAACGTCAGAATCTGGCAAGGTATTTGGAGAAGTAGAACCTCATTTTTACGTACCCTAGTTAGACGAACCCTCAGTTTTACGTACACCTCGTACCGATGATGACATCATAGATGCGACCATGAACGTGCAACGGATCGTTTTTAATGAACATCCATTCAGACTGCCAACGACAAACAGCATGCGGGGTCACAGGGAGAGGAGTTGGATTCGTTGTGCGATGCATGTGCGACCGTCGTACGACACAGTGTGTGCCCGGCTTTAGAATTGGCATGTAAAATTACACAAATCAGTAGGCCTAGTGATGATGGTAGTCTATGAGTGTTTCCGAGGGGTGTTCTCTTTTAAGAGAGATTAGGCAATTAGTTGGTTTACAGTATGCAGGTATTCACAAAGTAGACTTTAGGTGTGTTCATAAAGACATTTAACGCATGCAAGTTTCAAGAAAATCTGAGAAGGTACCGTGCCATCTCTTTTGTTGAGTTGACATTGAATGACCCTTACATTTTTTTGATCATTTTTTAAATTTACAATTTTAATATCAGTTCTCATATGCCAATATTAAAGAAAAACATGTTCTGTTTCACAAACAGACATACCTGTAGTCTATTTTTTTTCTTGTTTAAGGTACTGTACATAAGTTGTCGTTTTTGTTCTGACCACCACCAATTACAAAATTTGTTTCATGTGGCATGAGACTCATGCTGACAAGCTCTCATGCCAGCCCCCCACCCCTTAAAATCTCGAGCCCTTTCCTATAACTTTACAATATAAAGTTCAGAATACAAAGCCATTATACAGCCTTCCAATTTTCAAATTACGATACTTTTTTAAACTGAGAGTGCCATTTCCAGACACTTTAATTAAGACTTCACTTCACTTCAGCTCAAACATGGTGGGACTGAGGAGGGTGTGGACTCTCACACCAGTATCATGTGCAGCAATGTGCTCTTATATACAAAAAATAAAGCATGTTAATCAATAGACAATGGTACAAACAAACGTAGAGTGGAACAACAAAATAACAATGCGATCAACAGTACAAACATGTAACCATGGGGGTGTGAAAAAGTCGGAAGCAATTACAGTAATTAGAATTGTGGTAAATTATAAACAAAGATCACAGGCATAAGATGCGAGATTAAAGTCAGAAATGAAAATAATGTACGCGCTATTAAAGAAAGGAATATAAACATGGAAACAGGTTGGGCAATTTCAGAATTGTAGATAAATGAAGGTAAAGGTACTGTAGGAAAACCCATAAATCGCTGCATCATTGTGCTGAATTGCGTATGGGCGTGGTCCATGACGACCTACAGTAGCAGCCGTAAAAAGGCACATGTTCACATCACCAGCATCGAGAAAACCCCCTACTCTTCTGAAAGATGCAATGGGTTCTTTAAAGTGCGCAAGAACAAGAAGTGTACACTGGATCTTCATGAAGTCCTTATTCGAGAAGACAATTGGTTCTACCATGGAGGAATTAAACTAATTCCTCCATGGTTCTACCAACCAAACCCTGTGTCGAGGAGTGGCTGGAACCAGCGCCGATGTTAAGGGTACAGTAGTTAGCTGTGCCTCGCCTTACCGCTCAGCCACTCGACCAAGTGCCAAAATATTGAAAGAAAATCGTTGGTTTGGTGTATAAAGAAGTGTGTAGCCTAAAACCTACATACTGCCGGTAAGCTTGGCTAACACTAAGGAATGAGATGCTTGTAAAAACTTCAGGAGAATGATGCGGTGATTCTGGTTTCTCAGCTACAAGAGTTTTAGGCCTACCTTTTGTTTTTTGGATGCTTAAGATAGTGTGTTTTACTGTAGTTCTTCCCTTCTTTCTTTTTGGCTCTTAGTGCGTAGAGACCTTGTTATCATGCGCTATATAAATCCCACTACGTACATCATACAAAAGAGTGAGCCAAAACTCAGTTTGCCAACTCACAGACCATGAATCTCAGTTTGCGAAAACCCAGTTTTCTGTAAACCCAGTTTTCCAAAGTCAAAAGCAGTGTTTGTTCGTTCATTCGTTTGTTCGTATGAATCATACTTGATTCTAGTTGCTGTTATTAATTGACTGGAACAGTCTTAGCAGGGTCACCGATGAGCAGGTTAACAGCATGACCCTCCCATTATACTCCTGGGTGAGTGTCGGTCTCAAGCTCCCGACTTCATGATCAAAAGTCCAACACGTTATGCGCTGCACCACATGCTCCATAGCAGTGTGGATCAGTATTAGCAACTTCAAGTTTAGTTGATTCTTTTTGTCTATAATCAAACTTGATTAACAATTCGGCTTTCAGCAAAAAAAATAAATTAACGCCTATCAGATAAGCATAATATATAATTATATATTAATTCTATAATTATACACATGATTTTGAAATATTTAGGGGAGGTTTGGACCAGTTTCCCCCCCCCCCCCTTTGAATCTCAGCAATCTGGTTTCAAAAAACTGGGTATCAGCAAACAAGGTTGTCTTGAATTTACTGAAGTGGATTCAGCAAACTGGGCTTCGGTAAATGTAGTGGCCATTAAAATTCGGCAAATTGAGTTTCAGCAAACTGGGTTTTGACAATCTCACTAGTTGGATACGGAGAAAATTCTCATCGATTCTTCACCCACTAGATGTGTATAAGAGACAGCACATATATTAAGTGAGTGAACTTGCATAGTAATTACAGTTTCGCGGAAGTCTATTTTCCGCATTTTTCTTTCTATTTTCTTTCTTTTTGCTTTTCCATTTCAATTCTTTTTATCTCTTTTTCTCCTACATTTTATTTAAATTTCTTTATATAATTAATCACCATTTTGTATTTCTTAATGATACAGGAAGGCGGCTTTAATGAAATTTGCCTGAGGGCACTTTACTCCTGAGATTTCTCATGGACAAAATTGTGCAATATAACACCTGAGAGAAGATATTACTTTTAATAAGTATTTGTCCAAATTATATGTACATCATATGCAGTTCTATAATGCCCAGCTTTAAATTTATGTTATAGTTTGAAACATTTTTTTTATAGAACTGCATTACTTATAACATTTTCTGACACTACCTAACCACAGCATTCATAGCATTCGCAAATGTTATAAAAATTTTATGTGTTTGGTAGGTGGTCTTGATTACATCATTGTGATCATCGTCTTTATTTTCATTTGATAGGGAACATAGAATTACAACACCATAAATATAATTATAGATTTTAAACAAATTTAGGACAAATTGTAATTATTGTCAGGGAACTTTTAAAGTGCACAAACTACCCTTGCAATTTTTTTCCCCACCTGGGATGTGAGTCATTATCCTTCGTACAAAACAAGAATAATGAATTTGTGTAACCCTATGTACCGGTAAAAACAACATGCAAACTATGTGTTTTATAGTTCCTGCCTCTCATTATTTATCTCAGATACACACTGGTCTACAGCATTCCATTATATGGCCGTCTCAGCCAAATTGCCTTCCTGTTTCTTTCACAACGCTCCCGCAAAAATTGCAAGATGAAGGATACGCAACACATGCAGTTGGCAAATGGCATGTTGGCTTTTACAAGAAGGAATGTCTCCCAACAAACAGAGGTTTTGATACCTTCTTTGGTAGGTGTAAAATGGTTTTCATTCTTATGTATTATTGTAATTATAGAAACTAGCTATTCTTACACACGACAGGAAAATAATAGTACTGTACTTCATTAATATTTTTATGCTATAATGCATTAATAAGGTTGGCCGTCCCAAGGCAAAACAGCGTAACTGAAATTTTTTCCGATTTTGAGATAATATCATTTGGGAGTATATTAAATACTTCTGAATTACCTTTGAAGATTTCAGGTCTCAACAATAAGTCATTTCGGAGATAGCACTATCTTTAAGCACAAAACTTAAAATCTAGTGATTTTCCTTGGTAAAACAATGTAACTGCAAGATTACAGGGCAAACAACGTATCTACGATGAAGATACATTGCTTTGCCTCGGAATGGTATCAAAGTTACGGTCCCGCATTCCAACTTGATTTTGGTTTGAACAAGCATTTTGCAGAAACACATGCGGGATCATAAATTTGTCAAGGGGGGTGTCCCTGACGAAAAAAGTGGGCGTGGTCAGGCTTTGCTCAAAAAATGTTCCCCAAAAATATGACAATTTAAGGGTTTCAATACTTATTTAATCAATTTTAGAATCCACTAAATATGTAGAAAATAAATATACATTTTTCCTTCTCTCCGACCGGTGGGAGGGGGAAAAGCTCCACGACACAGTATTGTCAACAAACACTCATTGAAATCAATTTAAAACAGCTTAAAATGCTCAGATCGTAGGAGCGCCAGGGGCCCTCACCACCGGGCTCCACATCTCCCCCACTCCCAGCCAACTGGTGTAGTCACGCTTTTCAAATCTCTCAGATTGGTAACTATGTGGTATTCAAAAATTGTTTTAAGCTGATGGAGTTTGGCAAGACAAAATCAACTGGTTAATTGTGTTTTCATATCAATAATCTTAACATCGACGTATGAACAAATTAGCAGCGGTGGATTCAGGGGGTTCGGACGAAACCTCCTCTGTGAAGAAACGTAATAAAATACTACTGGGTCCTCCTGGATTACAAAAGGCATGCTGACCTAGTGTACCTAGGCATAGGTTGGCAGAACGGACAAACTAGGCTTAGCTCAACTAGGTTTCAGTAAATTAATAAAATTAAAAACACTGTTTTATGTACGAAAGTGCGTTCTTCATTCCTATCGGTTCATCGATCCATGGAAGAAAGACTATGTATACAACTATTCAATATTGTTGGAATTTAATAATGTATTGCCTATGTCTTTTTTTTTTTTCTCTACAGGAAGAGATAAAATTACATTACCGTCTTCGAGAGGGGGAAAACCTTGAATTTTGAAGAACTTAAATGTCATTAAAAGACACCTCAGAAGTCGGGAAAGCTCATTTCCGGCCATCTAGAATTAAAATTTTCCCGGGGAGGACTTCCAGACCCCCCTTCCTTTTTGGTTTTTAAAAAAAATATTTTGAACCCCCCTCTTTCAAATCATGGGTCCGCCCCCCAGACTAGATAATGCATATGATTGCCCTAAATGCGATATATTCCGGAAATATATTGTACGAGGCAAAACAATGTATCTGAGAATATCGCTAATAACTTTGCAATAAACAAACCGTTGTAATTAATATTTTACATAATAATCATAATGTCTATAGATATACAATCCTGCAAAATTTCAAAAGGGTACAACAATTTATTGCAAACATGCAGACTTTAACTCTATTTTTCTCCAGAAGTGTAAATTTTAAGTTACGTTGTTTTGCTATGGAACAGCCGAGGTATGTGCGATATTGATGGAAAATCTTTTCTTGGAATTTGTACAGTGTAGACCGCATGTCTGAGCACACACTGTCTTAAATTACGATTAGGCCGATCTTGCAATAATATGGAAGATAAGGCCTGGGGAATTTAAAGTATGAAGGGTTTTTGCGAAAATATTGTCAGGAAATATGTGAAAAAGTATGTTTTTATATCATATTTCTTAACACTACGGTGGGTTTCCTATGAAAGGTGTTCGTCATTGATCAGATTGCAAATCACCTGTATATTCCACTTATCAACCAATCACGGCCTGGAATGGTAAGCTTTGCGGCTAATAAGTGCGTCTGCACGAGTCTAGTTGGTAGTGAAGAATGAGCCGTTTTGTGGTGCTTGCAAGGGTGGGTGGTCTCTCCTCTGAGAGATAAACAATGTACACTACTGTAATGCAGGCTGGCCTAGAGCTAGAGGAAGACGAAGACGAACTAGGCCTATAGGCTGGTTGGGTAGTACGTGTGTGTAATAGATCAGATAACAGGAAATGTAGGCTACAAGTTGCTTTTATGTGTATTAAACCACATAATATTCAAATTAGTTAGTAGCGATGAGTGTATGTGTGCAGCACATTTCGTGTCAATGTACTGTAATGCAGGCTGGCCTGACGAAGACGAATAGGCTGACTGGGTACGTACGTGTGTGTAGGCCTAGGTTCTAGTCTAGATCAGATACTACAGGAAATAAATGTAGGCTACAAGTTGCTTTTATGTGTATTAAACCACACATTCAAATCAGTCAGTAGCGATGAGTGTATGTACAGCACATTTAGTGTTGCCGCACTGTGGTGTGGTTGATGACGAGGACATTGCCGTTAGATACATGATAGCAAGGCCCCACATGGAATTTTTGTTCTATTGAGACGGTAGCTTTTAAGCATTGCTCTAGGATGATTGTCCTTTACATATGAATTTTTTAGCTTTTCGTACTCTACACTTGGCTATCCTTTGCCAACCACATAGGCTTAAGGTACGTAATATATTAGATCAGATGTTAATTACATAAAATATAGGCCGACAGTCGTATTTAATGGGAGTTGAGTGGATTTATTTTTTCGCGATTTACCATGGGATGGCTACTGTCATCGTTACCTAGACTTGTAGACGCCGTTGTCCATATGGTAATGGTGAAGATCGATGAAGCATGCCTTGATTAAAAGTGCCTTTCATTTTCAATGGATTACATTCCATTCCAACCATGGTATAACCAGTCGATGGATAGCCTAGTAATGAGATATCTTGTTTAGATTTCACAGCGTGTTCCATGTACCTCCTCCATTTATTTAAAATTAAATTATTAAAACATTGCCTATAATCTAGTAATGTACTAGTATATTATTTAATCTAGTAATGTATATATTTAAAAACATATTGGGCAAGTATTCATACTACTTAATACTGTACAG